CATTCACACATTCCATGACCTTAAAAATTACTTCCTTTGGGCTGGCATTGTGGCATCGTGGATTAAGTCACTGCCTGTGATGCCAGCGTCCCGTATGAGTGCCAGTTTGAGACCCAGCTGCTCCACTTCCCATCCAGTTCCCTGCTAATGAGCCTAGGAAAGCAGTGGAAGATGGCCCAAGTGCTTGGGCCCCTGCACCTACATGGGAGACCTGGAAGAAGCTCCTAGCTTCGGATTGGCACAGCCCCAGATCTTGTGGTCATCTGGGGAGCGAACCAGGGGATGGAAGATCTCTCTCTCTCATTCTCTCTCTCTCTCTCTGACTTTCAAATAAATAAAAAATGTTTTAAAAAGAAAAAAAAATGCTTCCACAAATAAGCAATTATCCAGAGCAAAAAGAATTTGGCACTGGCCCAGAGCATAAGTAAAATTGTTCAAGGAGCACATGTTTACCTTTCTGAAGCTTGTGCCTGAATGAACATACCTCAGAAAGTACGCAACTCATTTTAAAGAAATAATTTCAGGACTTGCAGAAACATGGTGAACCATGTTACAAATCATCTAAAAGGAAATTGAGTCAATAGCTCCATTTTCACTAACTGTTAAAGTTACTTCTTTCCTGATGGAGAGTTATTACATTTTGGGACATCTCTGAATGTCTTTGATGGAAGAGATGTATGATTTTCATTACCGTTAATAACAAAAAGTGATGGATCACCACTTTTGCATAATTGTATGATTTTGGTGATGTTTGATTTGTAGAATTAATATCTCAAATCATGGATTTTTGGACATCCAGGAACAATTAAATATCAAAAGTAGTGATGTATGTGGCATATAACATATATGAGGCATGTTATGCATATAACATATATGACATACACAGTCCTAGTCAAAACAAACCAAAGCCAATGAAGGAAGGCTTGCCAGTGAAGGCAAAGTTTAATTAACATGCTCTACTTGGTAGACAAGAGGACTGCTGTAGGTAATGAGCGCTGGAAACAGCAGAGGAACCGCTGAAGTCACTGTCCATTCTTAAGTCTTCACTCCTTGTACCACGGTATAATTTGCAGCCAAGAAAGGCGTGATTTCTTCATCCTTTAAAGGCTGTGATGTGCTGTACCTATTTTCCAACTCTTATAGATTCAATACAGGGTACTAATTGAAACACAGTACACATATACAGTGGAGGTCCCTTTTAATGATTGTGATTATTATTGGTATGACTCTTGTTTTTATTTCAGTCTCTTGAGTAAGAGCCAGTTTCAAGTTGGGCTCTGGTTTCCAAAGCCATCATCCTGAGAACAATAACATAACCACTCACCAAAAACCAGTGGAAAAATCCTCCCTTCTTTCTTTGCCCCAGACATAAATGGACTAGCAAGTGAGCACATAACTTAGTCCCAAAGGCATTATGCAAATGTGCCCCCCAGCAGGGATAACTCCAGACCACCTTCCTACTGCTGTGGCAATGTGGCTGTGTGTGATCTTCAAAAAAAAAAAAAAGAAAGAAAAAAAGGAAATTTGGACCTAACGCACTATTAAGGGCACACAGAAGATTCGAGAGTCCTGTCTTTCTATGGAGTCCGACAAGAAATTTGGGATTGCTTCCTGCAACCTCCTTGACAGCAGCTGGAGCCAGCCTACCTCAAGCCAAGTACACTGTTTTAGTTTCCAATCAGAGGCATCCAGGCCTTTGTATACCACCCCACCAAGACCCCTTACAAATCTGAAGAATCAAAAAAGTCTTCAGCTTGTGTTCAGTTAAGGAAAGAGTGAAGATAATTACTATTCTTGAGCCCTGAGTTATTAAAATTATCAGCAAGTTGGAGTTTTTAAAAAGTAAATCAGAATAAAATAAGCCTATCTAGAGTTTAGTCCACAATGAAACAAAATGAGCCAACCTTCAACTATCATATTCCTCCGCTGTCATTGATTGAATCCCCTTTATCTTTTGCACAATAATCCTCTGAAGATATTTATTTTAATAACAAGTATACAAATTATCAATATTTAATATATGAAGATATTTATTAATTTATTAATATCTACAAGATATTAAATTATGGAAAAGAATTGAAAGTTTATTGTTTGTCTCTTATTTCCTGCTCCAAACTTTAGACTGTTATGTGATTCACAAAGGATTTTTTTCTCACATTGCTTTTAAATAACTTTTTTAAAAAATTATAAAATTAATGCATTCTCATCATAAAAAATAAAAAAGAATATAAACATTATGAAAGACATAAAGTATATCTGTAATGTTCTTATTAAAAAAAATGAGCTCTAGTATATTTTTGTGGTTTCTACTGGTCTTAAGCCATTCTTTTGTATTTTCTCTCAATACACTACTATGAGAAAAAGTTCAAATATACATCCATCTAATCCCTGACCTCTCACCACTGTTAATCAAATTAAAACACTAAATTTATAAAGGTCACTGACATTATGCTCACTGGATTTCACAGCATATAAATCCCTAATAAATTCAATAATCCCAGCTTCTATTCACTTTTGTTTGCTAACTCATCTTGCCACACAAAAACTGCTTCCAAACTCAGAAAAGACCTTGTCTACACCTCAGTTATTCCATATTGGAAAGGATTCAGTAGTAGTTCACCTTCTGATTCTAACCAAAAACTGTATAAGATATGATTTATGGAATTTAGCAGGAACTCTGCAAAAAATATTAAATGTGAATTTTGAATTTTTTTCCAAGTGGAAGCAAATTTTAAAGATTCACTATTTCTTTCTTAGGATCAACATCCAGCAGATTCATCATATACAGTGTTATCCAGGGGGTCAGTAAATATTTTTTTAAAGAACAAGATGGTGAATATTTTTGACTTCAAGGCCATATAGTCTTTGTCCATCTACTCTCTCCTTCTTAATTCTCCCATTGTAACCCAAAAGCAACCATTCACAATTCAAATGTGTGGGACTGTGTTCCAATAAAACTTATAAACACTTTAATTCAGAAAAAAAGAATTTTCTGGAGATGGAAGGTGATAATGGTTATGATTGTACAATAAGGTGAGTGTGTTTAATGCCATTGAACTATACACTTCAATATAATTAAAGTGGTATATTTTATGGTATGTGTATTTTAACCACAATTTAAAAAGAAGCAAAATTTTCCCTGTGAAACGTTCTTTGCAGCTCTGAGACTATGTAATCCCTTCTGCCTAAATACTCTGTGATCAAATGGTTTAAAACTAACAAGCTTCCAAAATCCGATGCACAAGTACTTCCAAAGATAAATCACAGCCGGCGCCACAGCTCATTAGGCTAATCCTCTGCCTTGCGGCGCCGGCACACCGGGTTCTAGTCCCGGTCGGGGCGCCGGATTCTGTCCTGGTTGCCCCTCTTCCAGGCCAGCTCTCTGCTGTGGCCCAGGAGTGCAGTGGAGGATGGCCCAGGTGCTTGGGCCCTGCACCCACATGGGAGACCAGGAGAAGCACCTGGCTCTTGCCTGCGGATCAGCACGGTGCGCCGGCCCAGTGTGCCGGCCGCGGCGGCCATTGGAGGGTGAACCAACCACAAAGGAAGACCTTTCTCTCTGTTTCTCTCTCTCACTGTCCACTCTGCCTGTCAAAAAATTAAAAAAATAATAATAATAAAAAAATAAAAGATAAATCACTCTCCCACCAAACCCTTCTATTGACATTCTGGAATTTTTAGAGTGCTTTTAACTTTAGTATTGGAAGTAAACCTAACTAGGGATCTGTGCTGTGGTCAGCAGGTTAAGCCATTGCTAGTGATGGCATCTCATATCGGTTCAAATCCGGTCTGCTTCGCTTCAATTCAGCTCCCTGCTAATGTGCCTGGGAAAGCAGCAGAAAGTGGCCCAAGTGCTTGGGGCCCTGCCACCCATCTGGGAGACCCAGATGGAGATTCTGGCTCCTGGCTTGGGCCTGGCTCAGCCCTGGCTATTATAACTATGTGGGACATGAACCAATGAATGGAAGACCTTTCTCTCTCTCTCTCTCTCTCTCTCTCTCTCTCTCTCTTTCTCTCTCCCCCTCCCTCCTCCCTCCCCACCCCTACATCTTCCTCTCCTTCTCTCTCCCTGTCTCTGTCTCTAACTTTCAAATAAAATGAATAAATCTCTTTTTAAAAAATAACATAAACCTAACCAAAATGGTGTTAGTAGTTTTTCCCCTATCCAGTAACTAGGGTTTAGGGTCCAAATGTTTGGGAGATTATGAAGGTATTTCAAAAGATTTTTGGAAAATGGAATTAAAAGATATGTTTAGTTTGCTGCCAAAATTTTTGAAATACATAAATTTTAATGACACATTTCCATTAACTTTTTGAATATTCTGCATATATAATTTGAAATTTTTTCACCAAAATAAACATCATTTAATTACATATTCTACAAGCTTTTTGAAGCACTTTTGTACAACTGATTGCTCTGAGAAAAATGTCTTGAGTAATTAAAAAAAAACATGAATATAACCTATCTTATTCATCAATGTAATTACTTTAAGTTAAAATTTAAAAACATACAATTGGGAAGATGTAACTTGAGCATAGTCAGATTTTATTTGGTGGTGCATTATTTTATTTATTTCAAATATCCAAATTGTTTACTGCAATTTTATTTCTAATTGTTTTTCTTTACAATCTGTGTTAATAACTGCCTGGTGTGATGTATTTTTATTTTTGTATTTGCAGTTGCTTTCAATAAAATACACTGTTCTTTAACACCTACATTTTGCATAACTTTAAATCTGCACACACATACTCAGGCTGAAAATAAATGTTCTTCCACAAGTTAGATTTGGGGGAATTTTATAGGCTTTGTTTTCTTTTTCAATTTTAATTGTAACCAAAAGAAACCAACCAGATTCTTTTTCAGTGTGGTCAGGACTAGTTTTTGCACTTCCACATTATGATTAAAGTGTTACTCATCTGGTACCTTCCCATTAAACTTTGTCTGTAGCCTGTGAACTTTTCATTCAGCTTCCAACAATGGAGTTCATTGCTTTAGGAATTGAGGTGTGTCTAAGTTTTTACCTGGGAGCAAAGTGATGCAAGCGTTTCTGGTGAGACCAATCCTCCCTGCAGGGTGGGGAGGAGCAGCCTAACAGTCATCTGTAGACTCCTGGGGAAGACTACAGTGAGGCCTCCGGACAGGCTTGGTTGAGACACCTTCTGCAGACGGTTGAGAGAACAGACACTGGGATTGCTCTTTGCTCACCAGGGAAACCAGAGAGGATGGCTTGGCTCTTCCCCAGAACCACAGGGGCTCTGGCCATTTTAATGGTAAGTCCCGTATTTTTCCAATAATTGCAAACTTTGTGTTTCCAGTTAGAGAATATTACACTTGATTGCTAACTCCCTATCATAAATGCTAGAGTGTACAGTAGAAGTAAACAATATGAGATCGTAAAGATTACCAGTTTCCTCCATTTGCTGTTCTTCTAACGTATTTTACATAGAAAAATAAACCACTGAGCAATGAATTTTTAAATAACCAGTTAGTATTTCTTTGTCTTACAAACTCAGTTATCCTAATCTCAGATATTTTCTACAGCACTTTCCTTTCCTTCAAAGTATTGCTTTTATTCATTTTCTTTCATGCAGACAAAAACACACAAGAGAAAGTCACTTCAGTGTTGCAAGGCTACATGTCTCTTAAGCATATGGCTAAGAACTCTGCATGCCTGGTCTTGACACCTGACTTGTTTTTAAACTACTCAAAAGCCATTGCAATGTTTCACTTTAATGAAGTTGAGAGGATTATTAAGCAAATTGTGTAGATGTTTAGTTATTATGTATAAAACATCCAGTCAGGAAATAAAAGTACATAAAACATTGTATAAGCCACTTTTTGGGGGAGTAATATTTGTGTTGGTTGGAAACATGTATGTAATGTTGGCTAAAAGAGAAGTAGAGTCTGAGAGCAAAGATTAGCCTTAACTATGTTGCTTTGGTAAAGAAAAAAACATATATTACAGTCTTGTCAGTTACATGAAGGTGTAAGATTAGCAATATGCCATAAATGAATGTCAAGTGAATATCAAAATGCTAATTCTCAGATTGTCAGTGATGAGTTTGGTTGGTCTAGGTCTCAGTTTACCTCATTTCCTCTTCTTGAAAGGTTGAGATAAGTGGACTTCAAGAAGTTACAGGGAGATGCACCTCAGGAAAGACCTTTCTTAAAAATTAGAATGGTCTGATGTTAGAATAGGGGGCTTTGCAGGCTAGAATTTCCCAGCCTTCTTTCTCAAGACAATGCTCAAGCAGAAAATGAGCGGCACCCCTTCTTACTACTCTGCTTCACTAGGACACTGTAACTGTCTTGGTTATATGATGGATTTATTGGACCTAAGAATGTTGCAAAGAGAAATGTGACAGGTGAAGACTACTAAACCTTTCCAGTGGGACATTTCTGGACTAAACGGCAAGTAGCCTGATAACACAGATATGCAAGCCAATAACCATCTTGGGAAGCTAAGGGATGGCTGGAGGTGTCAGAAAAGCAGTGCTAAAAGACATAGAATTGGACCAACACAACTTAACTTCCCTGCTTTATCAATCCCTTCTAATTACTCCTGTGACTCTAGAGTGACCATGCAGTCCTCCCATTAAATCCTCCTATTTCATCTTGTATCCTCAGTACCTACTATAATATCCTTCTTATAGTAGAAACACGATTATTCCAATGAATAAATGAATGATTGAATGAGCTGCTTTAAACTATAAAATTCCTCACAATCACCCTATAGTGCTAGTGACAGGGGAACTGTGACAGGAAAGGTATTTTCCTAATCCAAGAAAATTACACAGGGGGTCAGCGCCATGGCTCACTTGGTTAATCCTCTGCCTGCGGCACCAGCATCCCATATGGGAACCGGGTTCCAGTCCCAGTCGCTCCTCTTCCAGTCCAGCTCTCTGCTGTGGCGCGGGAAGGCAGTGGAGGATGGCCCAGGTGCTTGGGCTCCTGCACCCGCATAGGAGACCAGGAAGAAGCCCCTGGCTCCTGGCTTTGGATCAGTGCAGCGCCGGCCGTAGCAGCCATTTGGGGGGTGAACCAACAGAAGGAAGACCTTTCTCTCCTGTCTCTCTCTATATATCTATATCTCTACCTGTCAAATAAATAAAAAAAAGAAGAAAATTACACAGACACACAAACACACATATACATAAGCTACTTAAACAATATTGCTTCATACATAATTGTTAAACAAGATGACCTAGAACTGATCTATCCAATTTGGTAGCCACTGGGCACAAGTCGTTCTTAATCAATTGGTTTGAGATGAGATGAGCAATTAAGTATAACATCTATATCCCATTTTTGAAAACCTAAACAAAAGAATGTAAAATACATCATGAATGATGTTTATGTTAGTTAGATATTGAAATGATAGTATTGAGATATTGTTAAAATGAATTTTACCTCTTTATAACTTTTTTAATGTCACTGAAAAATTTTAGATAATATACATGGCTCACCTTTATGATTCTTGTTATATTTATATTAGACAATGCTGGTCTACTATTTATGCTGTTAGTGAAAGGTAGTTCCAGTCAGGAGTGAGGCAGGCAGATGAGGCACCATGAATTCAGTGAGAGCTGAGATTTGCTAAGGAGAGATAGGCCAAAGGGAGGTATCTCCAATTGTCAGACTAGCATTAGCAAAGGCAGGTGCAACCATGGCATTTGCCTGGGGGCTATGGACACACCGGTTTGACTGGAACGAAAGTTTGCATTAGAGAATCAGAGATGAATTGGAAAGGCAGACAAGGGTGAGACTAAAAAGTACATCCTGTGAAGGCTAACCGGATCCTTCTAGAAATGAGGAGCCACCCAGAGTGTTGAAATTGTGTGGTTATGGGGAAAATGCAATGGCTTTTAAAAACATTGTCAGGTAGGAATGTACACCTTTTGTTGTTGAAAGGTGGGGTCTGAAAGTTGGAAGACATGCTTAGAGGCTTTGAAATAATTCCACTATCCAATGACCACGCAAGGGTTGCCTAGCAAAGTCATAGACTTTGATCTATAGCTGCACTGTTGACTCACTCCAGGTCTTGCTGCCTCAGCTGTCAAGTAAGAATAACCATATCCCACCCCTCATCCAATGAAAATGTAGTAGTGAGAATAAAGCAGCATCGTGTACAAAGAAGCACTTTGAGAAATATAAAGTGTTTTATAGCATTCTAATTTGTATTAATTGCAAAATTTAATAATAGTGATGATTCTTAATAACTTCTTAACATTGGGTCTTATTGTTTCAAATAATCACCAACATAAGTTTTAAGTTAAGGAAAATCTACATTTTTCTTGAGCTAGAGGATATAAAAAAGAAGTTGTGAGATTTTTTTAAGTAGAGAGAAAAGTGAAAAGCTATATTATAAATGAATATAATAATGGGTATGGGGAAATAATATGTTTTCAAACTTGGAAATTCCTTCAAATTTTCAGCTGTCCTGTCTCCTAGATTAATTATTTAGGAGGAAGAGGAATGGGGAACACCTGACTATTCTTGAAGAAAATATGTAATATTCATCAGTTTCTTGTACTTGGTTGACCCATTTCACACAATACAAATAAGAAATTTGAGAAAAGGGTTTATGGGTGAAAATGCTTATCTTTGTGATTTAATCTTTAAAAATTTTCATCTTAAAAGGATACTACTGTATAATGTCTTCTAGTTTACAAAATACAAAACACTGCTTGTCATATAACATTATTACAAGCATTTGGATAATAAGCTATTTAAATTTGTGTTACCATATTATGTAAAAAATATTGATTACAAAATTAATAGAGATGTTTAAAATTCAAAGATTTTAAAGTGAAATTTTTAAAAAACAATTTGGTGGTAGTAGAAGAAAGAGAGTAGCTTTAATATTTATTTCTGATTTAGAACATGATCTAGATATAGAGGAACTATTTTCAACTATCTTCTAAGGAACATGCAAAAAGTGAGCATTTATAAAAGAATGTTAGCCGAAGTGTCCTAAATTTTTAATTAAAGGAAAATCTTCAAGCTATCCTTTCTCCACCAATGAAACCATCCAGTTTCTTGTGTGATTAAATACATGAAGACAAATTTCCTATTGAATCTCTCCAGAAGTTAAGATTCTGTATCAGAATTACCTTGCCAAGTGATTCTGCCCAGCCCTGCCTGACTCGGGCATAAATCAGGAAAGGCATAATTACTTCTACCAATTAGCACTCCTACTTGCTTAATACCTGAAACCGGTTTTCACCCGGAGCCAGAACAGTCCGTGTCCATGAGGATTCTCGTAAACCTCATAGCCCTGGCACTTTCCTTCCAGTAAAGACTCAATCTGATAGCCTAAGGTGAGGGCTTGCTTTGGGAAGCTCCTTATAGACAATTGGTTAGTATCTACAATTATATGATGATAATGTGAATCCTACTAAAACACACATTTTTCTAGCAGGGCCACTGCGCGTCTGGCCAGAGAGTGTACTACACAACTCTAGGAGGTGCAGTCATTCAAACGACCATGTGAACAGTGCCCCCTGGAGTTGTGCAATGAGCAGCCTAAATAACTGTACACTCGAGCACTTTCTTTTCTTTCTAATGCTCAAGAAAAAGAGTTCTTATGTACCTTGAATTAAATAAGAAGTCAGTTCATATCAATCAAATTGGGCTTTTATGCTTTTTTTGTTGGCAGAAGTAATTAATATATTATTAAGCATTTACTATGGGTTAAGGCTCATTGAGGTGCTTTACACCTACTAATTTGTTTAATCATCATAACAAATCTGTAAGGTAAATTATCCCAATGTTACAGATTATTATCCCAACATTACAGACAAGGTCACTGAAGGATTAACTAACATTCCCAAGTTATATCAGTTGGTGCAGGACTGGGCCTGGGATTTAAGTTCAGGGATTCAGGAGACAGTGTCTAATTTTATTTAACTGTACTTGACCTCATGCATCCTACATTGCTTTTAAAATAGTGTTTCAGTATAAACAACAGTGTTTTTCTTAGAATATCTATCATTAAACAAACTTTGATTTTCTAAATTTAATTTACCCAAAAAAATCAGTTATTGAAAATAGCTGCTGTCCTAAATTAAATAATAATTCTAAAACATGTATCATTTTTATTCAATTGAGTTTACCTTGACGGATAAAATATTTATTAGAGTATGTTGGGGTTATTATATTTAAAATTTGAAATTTTATATATATTCCCTAGCTAAAATGATACGATTTACACTTTTTGCTTTTATACTGGTGCAAGAGTATACCCATACAACCATTCTGGTTTTCAGTT